TATATATATATATATATATATATATTCTTTGTGTGGGTGTAACTCGTACTCTATATTAAATTTTGACAATTCAACTATTAAATTAAGAGTTTTTAATGAATAAATCAAGTATGTACATTTTTTAAAAAATTTAAGTCATATAATACTTTTTTATATAGATTTAAATCAATGTATAAAATATTTTTATGATTATCTGTCAATTTAAATTTATAAAATGAAGTATTATATGTTTTTCAAAATTTTTTAAACTTTGTAGACTTGATCTATGCATTAAGAAATTGTAATTAAACAATTGGATTATTAAAACTCACCACAGAACATGAGTTATTAAGTAAAATAAGTGTAGTTACACTTACTCTTGGTGTAACACTATTGATTTTATGATTGTTTTATTAATTATAATCTTTATCGTTTAGATGTCAATCATTATTGAGAACTTTGGGTTAAAGGACTCTAAAAGTAAGTTGGTCTTTGGACAACTAAACTGGAGATAAGTGGAGTCAATTCAAGAAGGTATAAGAGAATTTTCTGAAGTTTTGAACCTCATAACTTATGTTTTAAAATTTTTTAGAGGGAAGTTAGTAATAAATTCTCAGAGAACCCAAAATCTCCTCATTCTCTTATTTTCTGAAATCCTTTATTTTAAATTCATGTTAATGATCCTCGATGACTAGGTAGCAATCTAAGTTTAAAGAGTTGAAGATTTTGAAGTTATACAGAGTGATTTTCTCTTTTTCTTCTTCTTAATTTGGTTCTTTGAGAGGTAAGGAAAGTTGTAATTTTAAATTCTTTTATGCATTATGTGGTTGTATTACTGAAATGAGTTGATTGTTGGCTATTGAGAAGAATTGAATGATTAAATTGATGAAGTTTCGTGGATGTTGGTGTTTTCTTAAAGCACTTGAAGGGTAGTGGAAAAATCTTATCATGAAATGGTTGCACGTTGATTTTTGACATTGTTTTGTGTTACCTATGAAACTTATATGCATCATGTTGCAATGCGTATTGGGAGTTTTCTGGATTTTAAGTAGATTGGACGAAATCATTTTCTTCATAAGTGAAAAAACTTATATCGCATCGAGCGTAACTCTAAAAATGGGTCTTTATCTTGCTCACTCTCGAAGCCACTAAAGAGAGGAGAGAGAATCATCTTAGGTTAGAACTATGTCACACGTGGGTTGAATGACACCAAAGATGAGGATAGAGGATCATATTGGGTTGGAATCATGTTGAACGTGGGTTGAATTGGGCTGACGTGTGGAGAGAGACTCATTTCTACGTGGATTTGTATTGGGTGCTAATAGAGTGACGTCGAGCATGAGTTAGGTAAATGCCCTTTGCCTGATTAGGGTCGACATGGGTTTTGTCATGCTAGGTGCGAGAAAGTGAGAGACTCTTTGTTTCAACCATGTTAGGCACATGTAGTTTGGTGTCGGATGTGGGTGAGACACAGAGCCCCCTACCTTAATGGCATCGAGCATCCTACGAGTGGTGCCAAACACAAGGTGCATGATAAAAGTTATTGTTTTAAGTTTTTTTAATAGTTGTATAATGATGAATAAGTCATATGGATGATGATGAATCTATATGTTGTGAGTTGATACATTATGTGATAAGATTCATGTTAATTTGTAAGTTGATTAACGAATAAGATGTATAAATTATGAGATGTTGTAGTTTAATGAGTTGTGAAGTTGTATGATATTTAAGTTGCTCAAGCAATTAAGTTGTTAAGTTGCTAGACATGTGGTAGAGATATATGTTTGCTAAGGTACATAAAAAATACAGGAGAATAAGTGTTGCTTTTGAAAATTAATATCTCATTGTGTTGATATATGTTATCGTGCTTTGAGAGGCCAAGTGTTGAAAAACCTTCACTAAATAAGTTGACTTTTGAATGATAAGTTGTTATGTTATCTCCTATAGGTTTTATATGATATCCATATGTGGATAAGGTGGAGGCATACATATATAAAGTAACTAAATTGAGTAAAGTACGAACTCGAAAACTTAGTCGCTAATCAAGTATTGGAGGGGCGTAGTACTTAAAGGGGTAGTAGATGAACTAATTCCAAAGGTCACTTGGTGATGCAAGCTACTACCATGGTAGACTTATACCCAAATTATTCTATCTTGATAGTAGTACTAGACTTCCTAATTTAAGTGGCAAACCTGAGAAATCAAATTGAGTTATTAGATGACATGGTTGAGATAGATCACACGTTAAATTGCTCAACTCAGTTGTGAGAGATCTTTATAAGTTGACATGCGTGATGACATATTAGAGATACAATTATATGTTTTTATGATGTTTATGACATGAGATGATGTTGATACATTGCTTAAATTTGTGAGTTGTTTATAGATATTTTATGATGTTATTGCTGTTGTGTTGAATGTTGATGAGATGTGGGAAGATGTTGTCCTTAAATTGATAATTGCATGTTAAAGATGACATTGTGATTATATGTTGATTTCTTTTTAAAAACTTACCATGTGTTTTTCTTGTGGTTGGATCTGTGATGATCAAGCTCAGTATAAGAGTATGACAAAATTAGTAAGATAACTTGTGTAGTTGGTGGTAAGTCATATTGGTAGTGGCTCAACTTTGTTGATAGCTACTTTGATGTAGTTAGGTCTCCTACAAATGCTTAAATTTGTAGAGATAATATTTACTCTTAAATAATTATCGGGTGTATTTGATAAAATTTATTAATAGGTTAATTAAAACTTATAAGCTTTAAATTAAAAGTTAAAAAATTAAATTTATAAACTAAATGATTGAATTCCCAGTGTATAATAATATCAACTGATTGAGGTAGAATAGCATGAAAAAAATATATTTAGTTAATTTAAGATAAAAGAGATTTTAAATAAATTAATAAATTAAATAAAAAAAATATATTAATAACTTATAAATTATTTTATTTTCATAAATTATTTCGAATCTGTTTGACAAGACCTTTAAAAATCTTATAAATTAATTTAAACAAAATAAACGTATTTATTACACAAATTTATTTTTAATAACTTTAAGCTTATTTTAGTTAGGTAAAAGAAATTACTAACAACCTCACTCATTAATCATCAAAGTTAACAAGTAAACTGTGATAGGTAAATACAACTATATGTAAATATCATGTTTTGTAAAAACAAACAAATAAATAAATAAATATTAATGGTACTAGTGTAACTTTAAGCTTATTTTAGTAAGGTAAAATAAGTTACTAACAACCTCATTAATTGTCAAGGTTAACAAATAAATTGTGAATGCTAAAATACAACTATACATAAATATCATGTTTTGTAAAAAAAAAAAAAAAAAATTAATGGGTACTATCATTACTCTTAAAAAATTGAAAATACTTCAACTTGCCCTAAAGAGTAAAGATCATAATTTGCAAATTATACTTTAGAAAGTAAAAGGGCAAGTATGATTTTGTACCGAGTCAGAAAGTACAATCAATGTTATGAGATAAGGGTGGTGTGAATCCCATCTTCCAAAGTCCAAACTATAATCTTTAATGTTATTATTGCTCTCACTCAGACTCACTACTTAAAAATTACAGTACTTATGTTAGTCTTAGTCCATAACTTTTCTATTCAACTCTCTCTCTCTCTCTCTCTTCTCAGGGCTTCATTTCTCTCTCTACATCTAATTCCCCCCTGAAAAATCCAATTTTTACATTAGGGTTTTGATATCCCAGCTACAAACCACGCACTGCTTGGCCTGATCGCCGATTAGCGATTGCTGGCGGCCTCTATTTGTAGGGGTTTCACGCCGATTCCGAGCCTAGAAAGAAGCAGTGATAAGCTCATTGTGCACCGTAATTATGTATGGTTTAAGCGGCAAATTATGCTTAATTAGCAGTTTTGACTAAGAATGCGCCTGTTTTGAAGTACATACTGAGCTCAGGGGTGGGGCATAAGCTTTTTTCATTTGTGGGACAGTATGCAGAGTTGAGCGGGCTATCATAAATCATTGTGGGAAAATTTATTACTTTTAAATTTTTTGTTTGGGCATAAGGAAGTAAAGGTTTTATTTTTTTATTTTATTTTTAAAACCAGTTTTGCACGATCTTGTCCTGAAATTTTTTTCATTTGTCGGTTTTGAGATATTTCTGTCATTTTTTAAGGTAGATGTCCGATTAATCATTTATAGTTCGCGTTTTTATGCATGATTTGTGTGTTTAGATCGTGAATTGATTTATATATGTGTTAACTAAGTTCCTATTTTTCTAAGTTAAACTGAACTAAATAGCTGGTTAAGAATGCTGAATTGTAGAATTTGGTTTTCATTACAGTGAAGAAAAGTGATATGCTGAGATATGGCACTTAAAGTTCCTGCTCATAAAGCTGCTGAGATTGCAATTGGGTCCATCGGTCGTGGTTATGATATATCTCTTGATATAAGGCTTAAGTATTGTAAAGGAGATTCCTTAAATTCGCGTTTAATTGAGATAGATGACAATGATGTAAGAGAGGTGGTACTTCCTGGAGGAGTTTCAATACCAAATGTTTCCAAATCAATAAAATGTGATAAAGGGGAACGCACTAGGTTTAGGTCTGATGTCCTGTCTTTTCAACAGGTTAGCTTTCCTGTTTTTCTTCGGGAGGTGAATTCTGGAATCATGTATTGCTTGAATGGAAATCTTGTCTGTTAATTAGACAACTTATGAACATTGCCGTGCATCATTGTACCTATTTCCTTTCATTTTCAGTGTTTTGCTTATGATCTCCTTATTGGAATGCACTTCTCTTCCTTAGTAGATAATATATGGATTGGATAGGTGTATTAACAACCTAATAAACTATGATGGAAATTCAGTCTTGGATTTGCTGAAATGTATGAAGGTCATTACTCTAGCCTCATTTCCAAAGTGGCTTTGTCATCACTATATGTGTTGTGGTTGCTTACCTATGATGCTCACTGTCCAAAGCCAATGAGGGTTGGCTCAACTGGTAGGATGGGGGTGAATGATATTGGATTTTGATTTCTGTTGGTAATCCTTCCTTGGTAGATCATATGTAATAACCACTAAAAGCTGTTGAATAATTTTATTTCTGAATGCTTTTGAAAGGGCAGAACAAAATATTTATTTTATTTATAATTTGCTATTTCAGTGGTGCTGAATTTTCTTTTTGTCAACAGTTTTAAGTAATCCATTCATCATACATGTCTCCCTCTTACAGGCTGTTTGCTTCTTTTAATTTTTTTCAGATGTCAGAGCAATTCAATCAGGAACTATCTTTGACCGGTAAAATTCCCTCAGGGCTTTTCAATACAATGTTTGAATTTTCTGGGAGTTGGCAGAGAGATGCAGCCCATACGAAGTCCCTTGCTTTTGATGGGGTGTTAATTACACTTTATACTGTTGCATTAGAGAAATCTCAGATGGTCCTCTGTGACCATGTTAAAAATGCTGTACCATCATCATGGGATCCACCTGCATTAGCAAGGTGAATTGAGTTTTGTTAATGTAATCTTGACCAAATGCTGAAACTATTTCCAATTTCATTGTCAAATGAAATATTATCACCCTCTGAATTCTAGTTTTGACATCTTGATCGGTTCTTGGAATTATGGGTACCTTCTCTGATGTCAAGCTTCTTAACGACCTTTAATGATAATTTAATAGATATAAATCCTTAATAAGGAATAAGTGGAAGTTTCTCCAATATATTATTGTTGTATCATGCTACAGGATTATATACTTGCGATTTGTATTTTTATCCCAATATGACATGCACAGGTGGTAGAGGATTTCTGAGAATGACTGTATGAATGAGGTGAATGACTTGAGTTTCATCTGTAGCCAGGGAGGTAGTTGTAATAACACATTTTTGTCATCATTTGGTTGCATATCTGAATATTTTTTTATTGAAAAATTTGACACAGGCTAATAAATAACACCACCACCACCAATTATAATCCAATTTTATAAAAACTTAATTTGTCATGTTTGTTATCTAGTTTTGGTTGTTTATTTGCATTGAAATTTAGAATATAAAACTCATAATGGTTCTAAGCAAACTAGGTCTGATTTGGATCTGTAATCTTTCTTCATCTAGTTATATATTTTCAAATTTTGTTTCAATTGGCTGAACGCATGAATCTTGTTGAGATGCAACTTAAATTGACTGTCTTAAAAATTATTTAATTCTATTAGGATTAACTCTACTTGCTTATCTTTTTACTGTATTTTTTGTTGGAGACTCTGGCTGACTGTCCCTATTCATAACTCTCAGGTTTATTGATACCTTTGGTACCCATATAATTGTTGGTATGAAAATGGGAGGAAAAGATGTAATATATTTGAAGCAGCAGCACTCATCAACCCTCCAACCTGCTGATGTTCAGAAAAAGTTGAAAGAGATGGCAGATAGGAGGTTTCTAGATGCCAATGGCCACTATAACATTGCTTCTGATCAAGTTTTCCCAAATGACAAGGTTTGTGAAGAATGTTGATCCCAGGGACCAATCATTATTAATCCTGTCCTGCTACGTATATTTTGCTATTTCTTGAAAACATCAGAATATGGTTTCTTAAGATTGGATGGTTCTGAAATTGGATTGTGTCTTCCAAGGCTCACCATCCTGCGTATATTTTGATTAAACATTATTAGAGCAAAAAGGGAAAATATATTTGCTTGAACCATGTGAGGTATGTGTACAATCTAGGACATTAATAAAATGTTACCATGGCATGGATCAAAGATGTTATTAAATCACTTGTATGGGAGTCTCTGCAGAGTGTGTATAAATTTGTGCAAGTGTCATTACCCAAATTATTTTTTAATTGCATAGTTCATGAATTGTAATCATTGTCTCGAATAATAATATCCTCTTTGTAATAATGTATAGAGACCATATGTAATTAGGAAAGGGAGATGGGGAATGTTCACACATGTATTTAAATTTTAATTTAAAGATAAAAGGGTAGATGGGGAGTTAGTTGGGTCAGTGATTGATTAATTGAGAGAGGAAGTTAGGGGATAGTCCAGATGTCTCTTGAATACTTGGAGGGTTAGTGAGTCTACTATTCTACACTATCTTTGTATCTTCAATCCCTCATCTCTGGTGATCTTGTATTCCATTGATACAGACCCAGTGGTTGTTTCTGTCAATAAGCATTCTGTTTTCTTTCTATATTCTGATCCTGTTCTATTACAATGTTCATTCTTGTGAATTCTCATTGGGTTGAAAGTATCTAATCAATTTTGCTTCCCTTCAGTTTGGAGCCAGGGAGCAGAGGCTAACATTTGCTAATATTAGTCCATCAAGTTCTTATTCACATAAGGAGGTGCACTTGGAATATTTAACCTTGACAATCTTTTTAATGTTTATAATTCTATATTTACAGTACCAATTGTCCTTAAATTATTTCTTTTTGCAGGATATTGTAAGCATTTGCAAGAGGAGGGGTGGGAGTGATAACAAAAATATATCCCATAATGAGTGGTTGCAAACTGTTCAGTTTGAGCCTGATGTGATCTCAATGTCATTCATTCCAATTACATCTCTATTGAATGGAGTGCCAGGGAGTGGATTCTTGAGCCATGCCATAAACCTTTATTTACGATGTGAGCAAAATTGCTTTTTTTCTTTATGCATTCTTTCTAAATAACAATTCCTTCTGGTATTTGATTATAACAATTGTCCATTATGTTGTGGACCAAACTGTTCTATTAGTCACACAATTTTAATGTGATCATATAGTTTATGGTTTACTGCAAACGAGCTATCATAGACAGTTGTGTTGTAGGATGACCTCCAGCCTGCTCTCTACCTTTTAACTGTTTTTTGTCACATCACATGACCATGGATACTTGCAATGTAGCTTTAGGAGCGTGCATAGATGCTCCCGCAAGGACTTGAAAATGCAGAAGCGTTGCTTTGCAATACCATGCACTGAAACATAAGAAATGGCACTCTTATTGATAGAGTAGTAATTAAATGTTGGTGATTCATATACATCGTGACATTGTCCAATGTCTGGATTTTTGTCTTAAAATTAAATTCTGACGGATGATGGATCACCTTTTTTAATTTGTTTGTCTTCATTGTTGTTTGCTTCTGCATAGATTATATTAACTAGTTCAAAATGCTTCATCATTCCGCATTGATTCTTGCAGATAAACCACCAATTGAAGAGCTCCACCAGTTCTTGGAATTCCAGCTGCCAAGGCAGTGGGCACCTGTATTCAGTGAACTTCCTCTTGGTCCACAACGGAAGCAACGGAGTTCTGCATCTTTACAGTTTAGCTTCATGGGCCCAAAGCTTTATGTTAACACCACTCAGGTGAAAGGTTTTATTAAAAAAGAAAATATTTATGATATCAAAAACCCAAAAGTCATTCAATGGTTGCTTTGTTAAGTAATTTGAAGCATTTAATTGGATATGTTTAATGCTTCTTAACACATGCCTTGGGCACGCACTAGAAAAACGATATTAATAATTTATAACCTTCATGCTAAAGCAAGGAATACTTGTCATGTTATAACAGGTTGATGTTGGTAAGAGGCCAGTGACTGGTCTCCGTCTTTATCTAGAAGGTAAGAAAAGCAACCGGTTAGCCATCCATTTGCAACACCTTTCATCACTTCCAAAAATCTTCCAGCTTGAAGATGAGCCAAATGAAAACTTTCAGCGGAAATCTTATGATAGGAGATTCTATGAGAAGGTTCAATGGAAGAATTTCTCTCATGTGTGCACTGCTCCTGTGGAATCTGAGGAGGATCTTTCAATAGTAACTGGAGCACAATTGCAAGTTGAGAATTATGGCATAAAAAATATACTCTTCTTAAGGCTTCGATTCTCCAGTGTGTTGGGAGCTAAAGCAGTGAAGCATCCTGAGTGGGAGGGATCGCCGAAGCTGGGAGCCAAGTCAGGACTCATATCCACTTTAATTAGCCAACACTTCACAGCAACATTTCAGAAGCCGCCGCCACGTCCAGCAGATGTCAATATAAATTCTGCTGTCTATCCGGGTGGCCCTCCAGTTCCTGTCCAAGCTCCCAAGCTTCTCAAGTTTGTTGACACAACTGAGATGACCAGAGGACCACAAGAGTCTCCTGGCTATTGGGTTGTCTCTGGAGCAAAGCTTGTTGTTGATAAGGGCAGAATTTCTCTCCGAGTTAAGTATTCTTTGTTGACCATGGTATTACCAGATGAAGAGATGTTGGATGATCAGTAGCTGATTCCTTCTTTTTTAGGCCTCGCCTTCAGCAAACTGTTCTGCTGCAAGTGTTTATTTTTAAGGTGGGGAAATAAGAAAGTAGTGTATTTACATCAAGAATATTGTTTTCGGTGTCGCTAATCAGGGAGGCCTTCTTACATTATTCACGAAGAGATAGAGAGATGGGCATGTGTAGGTTACTCAAAGAGTGCAGTGGCTTTTCCTTCCTATCGGAGTTTTACTTTTAATGTAATACTTTTACCGTCTAACACCATGACTTGTTGAAAATTACTACTACAAATCATTTCCACTGGATTATGGCGAATCACTTATCGTGTTTGCATAGGATCACCGTAGATTTGGCTTTTAACTGAGCCAAATGAAGTTGTATGATATATGTAGCCGATGTCGTTAAGTGGGGGTAAGGTGGTGGTTGTTGTTTGGAGAGTGTTCTGGCCACAACGCCAAGATATCGTCACAGGAATGCTCAATAGTTTTCGTCTTTCTATTCTCTTTTAGATGTGTTTTTGCTTCTACTATTCATTTCTTCTTCTTGGAGGCGTCTCCCACTTTTTAACCTGGCAGTAGGGTTTTGTGTTACTGATCTTTCAGCCTATCTCCTCATCATGATCTTAACATTTTTTTTTGTTATGTCCACGATTCTTGGATTTCGCGTTGGATATATTTATCTTATCAAGTAGTGGTTTGTATTCTTTATCAAACATATTAAGTAAGTCATCATACATGGCATAAAACATTGATCGGTTACCCTCTTATGAACAGTTTGGTTGTCATTTAAAAATATAACATGATCGATCAGTTTGGAACTTATGAAAGTACAGATAGGATCATCTTGAGAAATTATGTGTAAATACTGCTATATGTCAATTTAATATGTTGAGAAATTATGTCATCTTTCTTGATTATTCTCATCATTGATCTTAAGCATAACTCGTCTAATGTGGGAGAAGATGGACGAGCATGCATCATTCATGTTGATCAAGAAATATTAAAGATGAACAGGTGAGTTGGACTCGAATTCTACTTTCCATTTTCTCCTAGTGACTGGTATTCTTTCGGGATCAATATCACTTGTTACGTGATACTATTTCATGTTTGCTGCTTGTTTTGTTTTTCTATGTCTAATGATATGACTGCAAACAAAATGATAGGTACGTCCGAAATACTTGGGTAGGCCCGTATGAAACACCCAATTAAGCAAACACATTTAATATTTTGACCTAACAATTTTTTCTGTTTTTTTTTTTTTCTTGTCACATGTGCAACCATTCTTCTTCATGTAACTAAATACAGCCTTGGTTGTTTCCTCGTGATGAAGTTGGTTGGTAGTTACAACTTAAAAGTTGTAGTTGTGTCAGTTTCACATTTGGCATCAGTCCTTTCATGATGAGATTGAGAGGTACAATGAATATAAGAATGTCTCTCATTATACTTGCACTTGTCAGCAACCTCATGTCCTGCAGAAGTTAATTATATTTTGCTGATTTCCCGTTCTAATTATTAACTAAGTTCACAAGCTTCTCAAATTTGTGGACGCAACTTGGATGGCACGAGACCCTCAAAACAAAATTATAAGGATCAAAACCTAAAAAATAAAACTATAACGACCTCGAACTAAGTGGATCACTACTTGAGTGTTGTTTATTTAAACTCCTGTAGCTGTAATCTTCCTTTTTCATTGCAAATGCGCTAAGAAAACACGAGACAGGGAGGAAGAAGGATGTAAGTAAAAAATAGAAGGACATTTATGAGGCAAGTTGAGAAGAAAATTATGTTGCAAAGGGATTGCTTTAGTTGCTGATGTTGGAGTACACCCAAGTTGGAAAAGCAGGCTTCATATTTTGATTTTGGGCATATAAATACAATATTTATCTATAAAATTGACACAAGTGGGTCGTGTCTGGGTATCTGTATTGTATACAGAGTTCATTGATGATATTGTAGGTTAGAGAAAAAAATGCGCTAATTAATTACAAAATTACGTTCATGAGAAGGCCAATAAATCCCTTCCCTTGGACATGGCAAAGGAGCAGGTTGGGCGATGTAGGTAGGATATTGCTGCCCTGGCATCAAAACTGAGAAATCAGATGCATAAGATGCTGGAACCTGTCACAAATTAATATACACTTAGTGTTAACACTTAACACCACCCCTCAATATAGAGATGTTAAAACATGAACCGCAATCTAGGGAAAATCACCTTTTATGATTCAACCAACGTAACTTTCCAAAATACTATAATAGTCACTTTTTTGTAATGAACTGATCACAACTTTTTATAGTCAAACATGGTTTCTGGGTGGCCTTCAGGTTATTCGCTTTCAATTAAAAACAAGTGCTCAAAGTTTGAAGATTTAAGATTATTTATCTCAAAAATCAATTTGGATGAATTCAATTTTAAGTCCTTCATGAATGAAAGTGAATAATTATTTTGTAGTTCTTAACACGGGTTAATTATCAAAACAATATTTTTTTCAAATGCATATAATGTTGTTGCTAAACAAGAAAAGAGATGTCAGGTTGTAGAAAGTAGAAACACCATCATATAGCAAGGTAAAAAATTATGAAGAGACTTACTGATTGAGCATTTCCTTGTTTTACGGTTGGTACTGGGTGCTCCTGATAACGTCTCAGCATAGATTCTTGCGTGGAATATTGTGAAGTCGGTTTGAACAGATGTTCAAATATGGCCATTATAAGAAACATTGAAATCAAAATGGCCGTGGCAACAAAACCAAAAGAAATAGCACTTATAGATGTTCCTAGGCTTTTCCATGGAGCTTCCTCATCAACTCCTGTTTGTGATGGACCAGGGTTTGAAGATGGATATATGTTCCATGGCTTTGATCTTTCAACGCTTAAATTGCTCATGGTAGTAGATATATGTCACTAAATACTTTTCCTTCCCAATCTGTCAAATTTTGTTTTGTCCTTCTAAAGAGGAAAAAAAAAACAGATAGAAAATCACTGGCTGCAAATAACCTTAAGCACCATGAAAGCTTAGTTAGTTGAGGATGTGGCTTACAAGCTCTCTTGGAAATATATCTTAAGATAATCTGAAGAAAAATTCTATCCTGAAACAAATGAAAATAGAAAGCATCAGTAGTCTACTAAATAGAGAAGTTCATAGTAGAAATGAGAGATCATTTTAAGATGAACGGTAACATCAAACACTTTTTGAGAGGTGTTTTACAATTTCTTTTTTAATTTACCTTATCTTTTATATGCTACTCTTGGGAAACATTCTATTCCACAATCAAAATCATCCAAGGGAAGGAACAAACATGCCAAGCGCAGAACACGATAACCCATAGTAAGGCCAATTATGTGTATGAATTACAATATTAGGAGATCCCCTTGTAAGGCCAATTATGTGTATAAATCTGGCATCCAATCTTTGCAAGTGAAACAGTTATGCATTATTTAGCACCTACAAACATGAGATGATTCTAAACAAGAAAGAGTGGAGAGAATTGAAAACCACACATGTAAAGCTAACAAGTGGTCAATTTTAAAGGCATTTATAGGAAGTCATTGTCCCTGGACGAATAGAAGTAACCATAAGAAGTCTTTAAAGACACGATAAGATGAATACTTCAAGTAAAGAAGTTTAAAGAAAAAATGACTGGCCTAAGGTAATTATACTTAATGCTACAAGCACATGCATGATCTAATAGAATTTTGTAATGATGATATTGAAAAGAAATTTACCTCATGAAAACAAGTTGCATAGAGGCCAGAGAAATTGATTAGTTTCAAAGGACATGAAAGGAAATTTACCTCATGAAAACACCACATAGAAAACATTCAGGAAAGATGCAAAGAGTTGAAATTACCCAGAAAATGCAGCAGAACAGGATATAATAGAGCATTTAGAAATGCCATTGAGACAGTAAGAGGAAGATAAGTGTCATTCTGCAGTAGGTAAACAACAATAATACAAATTAACTGAAAGAATAAACTTGCCTTCTATTTCTTTGTGATACGGGATCAGCTTGAAGTGTGTTGTTCCAATTTTTTAACTGGCATGTTTTAAGGCAAGAGCACACTTATTTATGCTATTATGCTTCACACAAACATGATGCTGAGCACGGTTAGCTTTATAGCCAATAGAAAATGTTAAGACAAAGGTGTATGATAGTCCTATTGGTACACTTTTCTATTTATGTTCCCATGTCGATGATCCTGATGCCTAACTTATTGAATACTATACCTTGTCAGAAGAAGCAAACTTTAAGAAATAAAAAAGAATGGGCCTTGCTGTCCGGAGAGCCAGAGCAAGATTTTTCAATTACTACTTTTAAAACTAAAAGTAGTCATATTTAAGGCTGGATTTCATCTAGGTTGTTGTAGTTAATCCAAGACTTTAAGTCACATGAATAGTGACTCTTGGTGGGACAAGTGCAAGCAATAATTTCCAACTACTATTAGAAATGACAACATTCCTTTCATATATCTGAATCTAATAATTGTATGCATTTGGAAACAACATTTTTCATGATAAATACAAACATAATTAAAATCAATACCGTAATACACCGAATAAAAGGAGATACGCACGAGCTTAGGAAGTGGGGAAAATATTAAAGACGAGAAAGGTAGGAGCCTATTCCTGACATCTTTGAGGATTAAAGCCTAAAGTCTCTCTTTGATGATAACATTAATGTTAAGAATCCCCTCACTTCCAACATAACCATTCAAACGTAATCATGAAAAGGATTGCACTATGAATCTTTCATAATCTCATAAAATCTCCACTGATTAAAAGATATAAAAAGAAGAGGAAAAGGCTGCTTCAATATCGTGCAAACACCAACTCATACATTACACAAGAACCCCCAAAAAAATAAAAATGGATACAGCACAAGTAAAATAGTAGTAATGATTATTATATAATAAATAATTAGGAAAAGGGAGCGGGAGAATGAAACTTTGACATACTACAGCTAAGCAGGGGTAGAACATTCATGATTCAAGTGAAGAAAGAAATGATTTTATAGGGAAAAAGAAATAAAGCTAGTAAAGGGGTGATGTAGACCACTTTTATTCCTCATGTTTGGCCAAAAAATAACCTAGTTAAGGGAAATCCATAGCTTTTGTCAGGATCACTTGACTATTACCTTATGCCATGTTTTAAGTTAAATCAAATGCACAAGAACCCCCATTTCTGCTAATCATTCATCCCTAAAACCCATGGTAATTACTGAAAAGAATGAAGCAATAATAATTAACAGAATAAATGATTAAAAGAAAAGCATTTGTCAACGAGACAATCACACTGTCTGAGGAATATGAAAGCTTATCTGTAACTATCTCAGCAACCTCCAAAAAAAAAAGTAAATTAAGAAAGAGATGAATTTGAGGAGGAAAGGGAGAAATAGATGCAAACATCACTTTCACTTCACTGTATTACAATCAATTGGTTTTAGACGACATTGTATGAACTACCATCCATAATTATTGCTCAGTTGACACAGATGAAGGGGTGAATTGTGGGCTCCTTATTCCTCAAGTTCTCTAAGTTCAGTACTTGCATTTGAAGTAATGCAAAGAATAAGGGTACAAAAATTCGTCTTTATTTGGAAAAGAATAAAACTACATAGACTGTTTCAAAGCATAACAGCTAAAGGGTTGGTTGAAGAAAAGAAGAGTGTTCGCCATTTGCATGTAAGACATGTTTTGGATGGCCCCGTGACAAGAAAGCGCACTAAAGAAAATGTTGAAAAATAGATTGAAACATAAATGTCTCCATCTTAAGCAACCTTGACTTTTGGAACAAATAATATTTATGAAGAAAGAATTTGTACATAGTCCAAACAAGAGAGTATAATTGGCTAAATTGAAGAACGTGGAGGGCAGGCTGTGGTGCCAATATTTTATGATCAACTTACTTACTTACATCTCTGTCACCTTCATGGCCTGTTTTTCACCTGCTTCTTCACATCATCATCACACACTCCCTTCATGCAAATTTCACATTATTCTAATACTCAACACTTTTTTCTTTTTTAACTTTTATTCAAAAGTTTAATTGTTGTAAAACTATACCACATAATTCAATAGTTTATAAAACAAATACATAAGTTGTTTTCTAAATTTTAGGTTTTTAAAATTAATGGCCAAAGGGTTTGTTTGAAGCGTGGAACTAGAATTGTACTTGGGAACTGTAATTTCGATTTCAATTATGTTATATTAAAATTGGTATAAAGCGGTAATTCTTATTTATTTGGTTGCGTAAAGAATTAGAGTATAAAATTGTAACTTTCAATGAATTTTAAATATATTCTCACACCTCTAATTTATGATAATTGTGATAATAATGAGTAAAGGGATGGTGGTGATAACAAAAGTGACGGAGACAGGCGGAAGTAAAGGATGCAAATGTATCAACTTGATTGAACCAGGCTTTATAAGATCTAAGTTTTTCTTTTTCTCAAATCAAAAGCTCGAATTTGATTCATTTACATGATATAAAATTATAAATCTTCATCTAAGACATGGTTTATTTAGTCTTTTTAAAAGTCTAGTCCATCTCGAAAGTTCTTTTAACAATAAATTTTATTAAATAAAGTTACAAACACATTTGAAAAAGTTAACAAGTTTACACTTATAACTTAAAAAAAACTTTTTTTTAAATAAACAAAATATTATTAAAATATTATAGAAAAAATTAATAAAATAATTTTAGCATCATTTTATTGTTTTTATTTATTTAAATAGGCCAACATATTAATCTTAACTATAAGTCTTTTTGAATAATTTTAAACCCAACTTTTAACTTTTGACTTTAATTTAATGATTATTTAATGTGACTCATTTAACAAAATTTTTTTAAAAAAAAATTGGACCATAGACATCCAAAAAGTGACTTGAGCTATTTCTTTTAAAGAAGTCTTGACTTTTCTTTTATTGTTATTGAAAGAATGTTGGAATTTAGAATTCTTTTTCCTTAAAGGCATCTTTGATAACTTCATCACTTCTCAATTCTCATAATTCTTGGTTAACTTTATAATAGTGAGACTCTTCAAAGACTAATTGCAAAAATCTTGCTTTTAAACTTTTGAGTCTTTCAACAATCTTTATGATTTGTAAATGTCTAACCAAGAAGTCATATTTGATTTACAATGATTTGTAAGTGTCATTTTTATACAAATTTTACTTATTTTTTAGACAAATTAGATTAATCTAAGATAAAATCTTAAAATATTGTGTAAAAGTAAAAAATATTTAATTTACAACACTTATTAATGTATTAAAATAATCTTTAATAAATTCATTATTTTTTATCTTCAGCATTTTAAATTCTCTCTTTAATATGTGGAATCAAACATATTCAATCATATCAATGTCCTCATAGTCATCTTTAATTTTGACTCATATTTTTTAGGTGTTTCAAAATTCATAATTTTAATAAAATATGATAAAAATCATGACTATAGGTAAAATATGAGTTTATCTTTTTTTAAGATTATTCTCTTTACCAGATTTCCTATAGGTAATAATAATTTTTTTCTCCCAAAAATGGTAGCTTAGCTTTAAATATCACAGCATTCCTTTTTTTTTTACGCCAACGTTCCATAATTTTTTTTTTCATCAACATTCCATAAAAACTTAGACCTTAAAAAATAAAACTTTTGTATTTAGACATGAAGAATCGATTAAAATAGACATATTTTCTCCGCAACTTCCTAACAAATAAATTGTTCTACCTCAGCAATGTCTCCACTCAATCTCATTAAGTTGAACGTACAATAAAAGTTTTGCTTCGTAGCTAAGAAAAGCAAGTTTTTTATGCTACTTGTAAATATTTTGTAAAAACAGCCTAACAAATTCAAACTTGCAAATAAATCGTAAGTCTAAAATTTAGAAGAAAAATTATCATTTAAATTCTTAAAAGAAAATGTATATAAGCTTATAATGAACTTGAAATTTGTAAAAAGTACTAATTTACCATTAGATTTATGGGAGTTACATAAACTAACTAAATGCACAACATAAAAGATAACATTTTGTTCGTGAGACAATGTTTTGTTTAATATTTCGACAGATTTACTATCATATTTCTTTTCTGTTGAAATTCTTTCACTCAATGTAAACCAATTCACAAGTCCAATCTCACCCTCCATCCAAAAACTCAAATTATTAATCTTAACAGAAATTCAACATGAAGAGAAATTATATTATAAGTTTAAATATGATTTTATTCCTTTAAATTTGAAGTATATATTTGTTTCTTTAAATTTAAAATATTTATTTTTAATCCTTAAAATTTATATAAAAAAATTATTAATTTAATCTCTCAAAATTAAAATTTGTATTTTTAATCTTCGAAATATAAATAAAAAATATATTATTTTAATTCCTCTTAATTTATCATCATCAATTATGTTATTAGAAACTAAAATAATATTTTTTAAATGTTATAAGATTAAAAAAATAAATTTTATTTTGACACTTAAAACACAAATTTTAAATTTAGAAACAAAAAGCATCATAAGAATATTTTCATCTTACTTACCTAGACATGTACTAAAACATTTTTACAAACACCAATCTTACTTGTTTCATATATATTTTTAATTTACTTAATTATGTTTTTATTTCTCTAAATTTGAGTTTTATATTATTTTGGTTTATAAAATTTAAATTTTATATTTTTAGTCCTCAAAATATATATATAATATTTTAATATCTCAAATTTAAAATATATTTTTTAGTATATATAATTTAGAAAATATTATTTTAGTCTTTTGTATATTTTTTATGACTCAAATCTAAAATATGTACTTTTAATTTTTAAAATATAAATAAAAATATTATTTTAATTCTTTTGCTCCAATATTATTAGAAAATTAGTTATACAAATTTTTTCTACTAATATTATCGTCAACAAAAATATCACATTAAATTAATTGACATAATTATTATCAATTATATTAATAGTGATTATAAAAGATTAAAAAATATTTTTAAAATTATAGAGATTAAAAGGATAAATTTTAAATTTGAGGAACTAAAATTATTTTTAAATTCTAAAAATTAAAAACACATGTTTTAATTTTAAAACATAAAAATATATGCAACAAATAAAATAATATTTTTAAAATTATAGAGATTAAAAATATAAATTTTAAATTTAATAAATAAAAAAATTAATTATTCTAAATTTAATGAGTAAAAACATAATTAAATATTTTTAATTAATTAAACTTTTCAAGAAACCATCATAGCCAAATCTTGCCAACATCATTTGTGGCCATCAAAAGCCTCATTGTAGTTTATTTCTACGCTAAAATTATCAAAGTTAAGGCAATTTATCTCTTTTAATGTCTCATCTTTTGTGATTAATATCATCTCTATCATTCTCTCCATAAATCTTGTAATTTGACCATAATTACATCCACGAATAAAAGACCTCGCATATTTTTATCCTATTTTTTTTATAGTTTTAAAATTATTATTAAACGTATTTTTAATAAAGAACTGAAGATTATTTTTAAAATTTTATTTTTTTATTCATATCATCAATTTTAATCGATATGTTTAAAAAACAAATTATCAATTATGTCAAATTATATATTATTACTTGATATATAAAGAAATTTATTATTAAATTAAAATTTATAAATATTTGAATTATTTATTATTTAATACATATAATAATAAAAATTACATTTCATAATTTACAGATTAAATCGATAGAAAATATATTATCTATTAATACTTTATTTGATAACGGATATATTTAAAAATTAGTAAATAACTACATTGTAATTACATAGAAGTATAAAGTCAATAGAATTTACACGTAGTTCTTCTGTGTAAAGAGAAAGCCCTAATGAAACGAAGCGTTTTGAGGTTTAGAAGATAGAGGTTGGGATTCAGTGTTCCGGTGGCGTCGCGGTGTTGCTCCTCCGTGGACGGTGAACGCGACACCGTGAGCTCAAGTGAAGGAAGCGTTGTCAGACTCACCTCTCCATAGTTGCGTTCCTTTCGCTCACTTCCGCATTTCAAAGAAATCCACACCTTTCTGCCAATACCCAATTTTCGCTCCTTGTAATTGCTTTTCTCAACTCTCTAATTTGTTTCCTTTTCTTCATAGATATTGTCTTTAGTTGTTTTTTCTTTAATTGTTTTACCCACAATTCAATTTCATTTAGCTAAAACACTAGTTTTTTTTCTCATTCAAATCACGCTCTTCTCACTCTTGTCGGTGGGAAACATAATGTTACCATGTGCTTTGCAATTTGTTCTATATTGAGATGAGATGCATAAATTACAGTACTTTGTAGTGTTGTGATTTGATTTTGGTCTGAATTTGTTTTTAGAGCACGGTGAGAGTCGTATTTGGTTAGAAGATAGAACATGAAGCGTAAGCGTGGACATAAGAAAGGGAAGGCAAAAGGCACCACTGAGCATGGAACCAGTGCTAGTGAGAACCTTAGTAATGGTGGGGGTCAAAATAAGGAAGAAACCTCTGGTTTGGATGAGTATGGTAATGATAAAGATAACTCTGGAATGGAAGTTGATACACCTTCTTCCACCGGGACGGATCAGCATTACAATCTTGCTAACATAAATCCTGATGGTTCTGTTGATAAGGCTATCGGGAAGTCGGTAGGGCGTGTTAAGGTGAAGCTCAAGACACCTAAATTGTTGGACTCCCAACCCACCTCATCTGATGCTCCCACACAAAGCGATACTGATAAGAGTAGTCAGCAACACGGGCTTGAGAAACAAGGCGTGAATGCCGAGAGAATGGAAGATAGTGCGAATTCATTGCCTGATATGAAGCTGGGAACTCTGTCAAAGAGAACTGGTAGCATAAAAATTAAGTCTTCTAAGATTTTGGGATCAAATGCTGAGCAGACAGGCAAACCATTGTCAGCTTCCACTGAGATCACCGACCCAAGAGAAAGAAAGGCCCCTCAACAGAATTCCCGATATAATAAGCAGGAATTGGATGCTTCCTTAGTGGTGTGTTGGAGATTTGATATAAGTTGTTTTTTTTTTTTTTAACATTGTCTTCTATTTCCAACCATTACATCATCAATTATAATGCATTTGGTTTGTTTTGCGCAGGTTATAAGGAAGGTAATGAAAATGGATGCAGCTGAGCCATTCAATGTTCCTGTCAATCCTGAAGCTCTGGGAATTCCTGTAAGTCAATTTTTTCCATGGATTTTTCTTTTTTTTTTTTTTTAAATTTGAATGACACTTATTTCATGTTTGGTTCCCATTCCCTTGATATGCTAGATATTTCTCTTCCTCAATTTCTGCCCCTAAACATTGTTTTGTTAAATTCCTTTTGTTCAGTGAATCAATCATCTACAGCTTGCATGCTTCCAGAAATTATTGCCTAGTAAAACTTATTATTACACGCTAATACTATGAAGTAATAGCTTAAGTGAAACTAATGGGATATTTCCCAAATAATTGTTCTACAAGCAAGCTGTCTTTCTCTCTCTTGGTAGGCATAGAGGTTATATTCTACAAGGATCTATGATAATTTTTCAGCCAGACACTAACATGATATATAATTAAACTTATAATTATTTTTTGAATGAATAATGATTAATTGTGTCTAATCTAATGTCATAATGCTGTCTGGAACCAGGACTATTTTGATATCATAGACACCCCAATGGATTTTGGAACTATATGCAACAATCTTGAAAAGAATGAAAAGTATATAAATTCGGAGGATGTATTTAAGGATGTTCAATACATTTGGGACAACTGTTACAAGTATAACAATAAGGGTGACTATATCTTGGATCTTATGAGACGAGTAAAGAAGAACTTTATGAAGTATTGGAGTGCGGCTGGGCTTTACAGTGAACCATCCAAAGGGACCAAGGGTGAGACATCCATGTATATGTGTATATATTAAAATCAAAATACTATCCTTCCATTGTTCTTTATGAGGATGAGAGATATAAAGCATTTAGTGATTTTAGTCTTGCCTTTGTTTTTTCAGGATATGTTTTGCATGAAATGTCTGGAAATATGTATCTATTCCTTCATTTTTTTAAATATTTTTGTTATACAATGTTTTCAAGAGGAATCTTTCCGTATGAAGAAAATGTTTAAGTAGGCTATGTAGTTTTTTTTCCTCTGCCTCTGTTTTTCTCTGCGTCCCATATTTTATATTTTGTTTTTCTATGAACAATTTGGGGAAGAGAAGGGGAGGAAGTAAATGATAGATTTTATAATTTTTAAACCAAGAATTTTAGTTAAGCAATTTGCCTTTCTGAGATTTCATTCTCAAAAATCTAGCTCCAAAATTGATGTTCATAAAGTTTTAGAATGATAATTAGTTCATTTCAACTTGACTTTTGTCTTAATGTCTAGCTAGATCTGTTGTACTGTGTAAAATTGAATAAATGGAATGAAACCCAATGGAATCTATTCCATCCGTTGGATTTTTTCCTCCCCCAAATTTGAGGGGTATGGGACTATGGGGTCTAGTTTCCTAATCCACTAACCATTTCAATTACTTCCCATACAATTGAGTGGAAACTCTATTCTATTGTAAAATACGGAAACAACAGTATGATATTTTAATTCAATTACATCCTATCTTATCCCAGACTGTTCCACTCATCATTAGATATTAGATATCTAAACACATTGGAGATAATCTGGGAAGCTCCTCCGAAGCAACCAATTCTCTTACTGTTAGGACTATGGTGAAGAGGAAGTAAATTAGGACAGTTAGAATATTAATGAGTTAGTTAATTAGAGGGCTTGATTAGATACAAATAAGGGGAAGGATAGAAGGGTTCATTCAGATGTATTATCACTTGTAAATTGAGCATTTTCTCCTTGTCAAGTGGAAACCCTTGGAGGAGAGATTTCTCTCATATGCCTTGTTCTTTTCATCGTATTCAATAAAATCTTTCTTTTCTTTCTCATTTCAATCCCTAGTTCCTAACACTTATCTTATTGATCATATCCCTACCCCACAAATTAAGAACATTACTTTTGCATACCTAATCTTCTGAAAACAGATGATTTTCATTTTATGTTAAATGCTTTGCCGTGATAGCAACATGGGCTTATATTTTTGTAATGTATCAGGTATAGAGAGGACTTCAGCAGAAGACGTTACACTGACTGGTGATGGAAAAGTAGGGAAGGGTGGTCAAGTGAAACAGAAGACAAAAAAGCGTCATGGGTGTGTATTCCCAAACTGCTATTTAACACTATTTTTTATATGGTACTATAATTCCTTATATGGTAATTGTTCTTGCATGGTTTACAGTTTAGGGTTTGGAAATGACTTAAGTGGCTATCACGTAAGCTAAATGAAATCACTCGTCAATAATGTTCATTGTATGTTATGATCAAGTGAACAATACAAGATTACAAGTAGATTGTAGACCAACACTTATTCCCAGAAATCTGATATTGTCTGATAGTGTATCTTTCTTAAAGGGTTTAGAGAAGCTTTTTGTTTTTTTGGGAATTGTGTTTCCTTCGTTTAAGTTTTGTAAAATGTATCCTTTTTGTTCATTTATAAACGTAAGTGATTCCAAAACAAATATCAATGATGTTGAGTTTATGACAAAGGATTCCTTGCTTTTAACTCTTTTCCCGCCATCTTTCAATCGATGATGAGAATTGTTAATGGATAACTGATCATTGAAATTATTTGCATGCTTATACTTTATCTCATTTGCAGAAGACACCATAAACATGATTGTTTATGTGCTATTTGTGTTCTAAAGCGACGTAGGAAGGAACGAGAGGAGAATGCCCGAATTGCTAGAGGCAATTTTGGAACTGGTGGTGAAAAGCATGCTAAAGAGTTTAAGCACGAGGTATTTTAATGTTTTTTGCCTGCACTTTATCTTTTGGATACATGTTTGGCAATACTTGGAGACAGTTTAGGGTATATATCGTGTCTCAATGGTAAAATTCTGAACTGAAATGATGGAACCACAAGAGATTTACTTGTTCAATTTTATAGCTTTAATATATTTTTCTGATTTGATATTTTCTTCATGGTTATTCTGCTGCAATTCATTAAGAAAACGATAGAAAAGAATATAGCTGGACTGGCTTTATATCTTTGCCTTGGTGCAATTTATTATGCTAGTTATCATCAAACAATGTTTTTCAAGTTGCTTGATGGTATTCTCTTGTTTGATTTCCATTACCTTTGGTAACATATGGCTTGAGGATCATAGTACAAGTATTGAAGAAATCTAAATATCTACTTTATAAATAGATTTTGTACTGCCTTATGTTTTAGGAATCAATACAAGTAGAGAGTCCCGGTGGTGAGGATTCATCATCAAATATAGATGAATCTATGGGCACTGATGGAGATGTTGATGAAGACAAAGGAGAGGTGATGAAGATAGAGATTAGTGAGAAGCATTGTAGCCCATCTGAGAGAAAGCACGTGAACATTGATGTTGATAATGATGATGACGACGACGACCAAGTTCAAGAGGAAGGGGATGAGGAAGAGGAGAATGAAGAGGAAGAAGATGAGGAAGAGATTGAAATGAACAGTCAGAAGAGAGAGATGGATGAAACTTTAAAACATGGGGGAACCTTGGCAGAGAAATCAAATGTTGGTGATGCAACCGTTCTTCATGATGAATATAGAACAAAGCAACAAGAAGGACAAGCTGCAGCAGTCAATCAACAGAAGAAACACAAGGTATTTCACTCGATGTTTGATCTAGCAAATTACAGTATTTGATTAACCCTTAATACAAGAAATCACATGTGGATCTGTGCAGTTGTTTGGACTTGTCATTATGATTATTCGCATATTTTCTGTTGATAAGTGTACTTAATAGTTCAATCTGTTTCTAGGGGTCACAAGATAAAGAGCAGAAAGGTAAGCTCCTTGAGAGCTTGTACAGTGAAAACCCCAAGCTTTCAAGTTTATGTGGAATTCTCTTCCCCCAAAATAGTCAGTCTGTCTGGAGTGGACCACACTCACTAATACAGAAAAGAAGTTCTGCTCGTACCAGTGCAATTCACGCAGCTATCAGGACTTTCATGGAGTAGCCTCTTCTCTTGATCTAGCAGTCTATGTCATTAATATTTTAGTTGAAATGCCTTCGTCACATGGTGTATTATAGTCACAATTTATAGCAAGAGCAGATTTTGTAATTTTGCTTCCTGTTTTATTTTTCCCTTCGCTTTCGCTCGACGTTTTAAATCCGCGCAAGCATATTACAAGGCAGTAAGCAGGCATTGTAATCCTATCGTACTAAGTTAAAAGTCATTTTTTCATCTCATTTTCAGTCTTTTACCCGCAGGGTACTGTTTCTAAGTTCTAACCGTTAAATCTGGAGTTATGTTTAAGGTTCAGTAGGCAAGAATGTCATGGATAAGTTTTAAAATTTTATATTAGAATTATGGTTTTTCTTGGGAAAAAGAAATTGTTCTTCAAACCCGTTTTACTTTGAAAGTAAACTGCCACTTGCGATCATAGCTTAAGTAGCCAAGTTTAGAAACCAACTGATTTTGGATTAAATTACTTGACAAAACACAATCATGCCATTTTTCAAACTAGTAAAATAAATCTTACTGCATAATGCTACCCGTCATCTAATTGCAAATCGAGCGTTCGTGCAAAAGTCAACAATTGATGTACAAAATTTTTATTTTTAAATAGATTAAAAAGGTAGGAGATTTGATTTCGTCTCATTTACTTAAAACACAAATAATTCCATTGACTTCCTCTAAAAAAATATAACTGAATCTCTTAATTTGGAATGGGTAGCCAATGGCTTAATTAGACAATCACCATGGAGTTTGCGAAATTTTTTTAATAATTTTCTTCTAAAAATTTTTAAGTAAAAGGGAGGGAAGTAATGATGGGAGTCCGAGTAACGTTAAACGAGAATATGAAGAGATACAAGGGACAAAATTAATCCACTGCTGGTGGACTTTAAATTAAATAAAAATCCTTGATGGCACATCTACAGGTCCATTGGATTGAGCCCACGGCGTGTTTCCGAGAGGCCCTTTCAAGTATTCGGTAGATCATATTTCACCTCCCCTAGGTAGAGACCACATGCCGGGGCCATTGGACTTGCGGCAGTAACAGTCTTCGCATTCAAAATTCTTTCAACTGAAAAGTGCGCTATGTGAGACAAATTTTTAAGCCCAAACAAAATCAAGTGTTTGTGAATATATTATATAACACGCGTCAATAGAGATTAATGGTATGAGTACCGTCCGGAATTGTTAAGTTTCCAGTGCCAACAGCCTTGAGAACACCAACAAGTAGTCTGACCTGAAATGAATTAACAACTGTATTCAGAACAGATTGGATAGAACATGGAGGACTAAATCCCAACCGAAAACATAGAATCTAGTGCATTCAATTAAAAGGAAGACAACCCACCTGATGATAAAGAAAAGCACGTGCACGTGCTGTTACCACCAAACATCGATGTCGCCTTCTTTTGCCAAATCCTACGCTTTGACTTGATGTCATTACCTTATCAATGCTTGGACTAGAACTAGGAGGAATGTCAGTTTCAGAGTTGCTGGGGAAGCTAACAAGATCACTGACTTTATTATGGTTTTCTCTATCCATTACAGATGGAAAATATGGACTTTCAATTACCTCGGTGACACTGAGTTCATCCAAAGTTCTAATTGGTGATTTTGCCTGTAATGGGATGTTGTAGAACTTCAAAACAGGAATGAAAATTTTGAAATGAAAAAAAGACATGCAAATAACACTTTAGAAAGAATGTACACGGAGCATTATACTAAAATAAATCCTTTAAATTAAAATTCAATCATGACTACCATTTGATAACTGTAAAGCTTGTCAAATAAACCACTGCATACTGTCTAGTCCCAATCATCCCTCAAGAGGAATGTAGAATTTTATAAATTATTGTTTACAATATTGGAGAAAAAACACAACCTGACAACCAGCTGCTCTGAAGGAACTAAAATCATGGCATCCAATAAGAACTTTGCATGCTTCCTGCATGCATATCATCAATAACTTGCATAGATGAAAGATTGACAATCTAGTAAATATAAGGAGCTGTTAACTAACTTGCATAGCTGGAAGATTAAGCTCCTCAGGTACATGCCATGCTCGATCTTTCTCGAAGGTTGACAAAGGCTCTGGTCCAGACAGCAATCGATAGAAGTATCTGAAAGGTAGTTCCAAATAATTATCAATTACTACAAATGATCATACAACTGAAAGAGAGAGAGAGAGAGAGAGAGAGAGAGAGAGAGAGAGAATTCTATAAAATGCACAGAATAGTAGCCAGTGTGAGAAAGTCTAAGATGATTAGATGAACCTTACTGTGATATTCTCCACAGTCACTATTTTATATAAATAAAGTACAATTTCATAGATCAAGCAAATATCAGCTATGAATGAATATCTTGCATCGAATAGAACTTTACAAAAGCCAGTGATGTTATATACTTTAATACAATTGATAATCAATGCATGTTTTATGTTTAGTCTTTTAGAAGCAAAATCTAGATTCTTGATTACTCACGTGCGCTCTTGTGCTTTAAATCTGGCATGAAAATCAGATGGAACACATCGAACATCAATAACCATAACGTCACTGTCATGCTTCTAAAATAAATCAAATTGCAAAAAACAACTGTCAGGAGCTTTTGAGCACAAACAGTATACTTGAGCGACATCAGTTAATGAACAAAATTTGAGAAATGCTTCAGGTTTTCAGAACCACAACTTCAATTTTTTGCAAGCAAAAACTAGTTGGTAATAAAATTTAGTTCAAACACTTGTTTAAGAATTCAATAATTCATTAATCTTCCTGCAATAGATTAGAAAGCTGAAATTCATTCTAATTATAAATATTAAGAATCCACACAGACAGAAAGCTGTCACAAACAGCAAATCTAGTGAGTAAGCAAAAGCATTAGCAAAATCCACACTGAATACACAAAAACAATAGATCAGATATTAGCTGTGATGCAAGTTTTGGCCTCAACATAATGTACCTTGAAGACAGTTCAATAGGATTGAGAAACTTTCATGCATAAGATGATGGAAAGTAAATTGCAAACCATTTACAAAAAAAATTGCAAGCATGCTCTGTTTGCAGCAATGTGGGGTTAGAGAACCCAACTATCTTCACAGTTTCTTTCTTCTTCCACATGGTGTAAGAAGAACAAGCATTTTGTCAAGACAGAACAAGCACTACATTTATTTAAATGATTTACAGTTCAGTAGATCACAGAAGAACATACCTGTAAGAAATGGTTCACAGCCCTTCCAACCACAGCAGGTTCGTGAGGTGGTAACTGCATTTTTACAACAACAAAAAAAGGAATTTACTAAGAAATAAATAATACTAATTACTACAGACATTCCCCTCTGTCAATTTAATCAATACACTCAATTAACAAATGAAAAAGGAAAAAAAAAAAAAAAAAAAAAAAACAAACATAAAAAAAAAAAAAAAAAAAAAAAAAAAAAAAAAAAAAGTCAATCAGTAATTACAAAATTGATGGGGAGCTACATCCCACATTCCCACTCCAGCCCACACACATCCAAGGAAAATGCAAAACTAAAAAGAGGAAGGCAAACAAAGACACAGGAAGAGCAGTAAAATTGAAGATGGTGATGTTATGATAAAAGGCATGAATAGCTTGTTGACAAGTTAAATGGTTCCATACAAATACTAGATAAGCATATATTGATTAGTAAGAGTATCATGTTTAAAGGCAAGTTAAGGTTTATGTAACGGACCACTTCACCGGGCTTCCTTTTGCTGGTCCGTTGAATATCCACATGACAAACATTGGACAAGGCATGCACTCCAGCATCCTGCAATTGCATAACAGAGTTCAATTAGAATATATGTAATGTAACGGATTTTTGAATAGCGATAATGGCAGCGATACTCACAGTTCGACTTGAACAAGAGACAGGCACTGGGTGGCCAAGAAATTTAGAAAAAGCCTCCTACAACAAGACAATTGATTTGATTGTAATTTGTGATAATGGAAATGGTGATGTTAGTTGTATGGTAACGTAAAGCTACCTCGAGAACACCGACGACGGTGCGGTCTTTGAGCTGCTTCTGAGAACCGGAGAAGCGAGTCCCGATATACTCGATTGCGAACAAATAGCGTTGAATCCTATTACTAGGGTTTTGGCTCATCCCTTGTTTTTCTTCGTCAACGTCACTCAGATACTCGATTTTTGATATCTTTGACGGCCTATTGTTATCGCTGCTGCATTCCAAATCCACACTATGCTTCAGATTCTCTGTCATCGAAACGAAATCAATCTCCCTCTCTCACTCTTCGACGTCACAATGCTATTCCCACCACTGCCCCCTGCTTAATGCTTCCACTTCCCACCATACCAAAACCTTTCGCTATATTAAAAATTCTATTAAACATTTTTTTGAAATACTATAATTTACATCCATCCCCACACTCCTAGAAATGTATATCCTTATTACATGCTCACATAAATATTAACATTACTATTTTACAAACACTTTATCGATATTTATTATTTCTCATCATCTCTCTTCATTTCACTTATTATCTTAGACTTTTTTCTTCTTTTTTTTCACTCCCTGAATGTAGAATGGTAAAGAGTGTTCTATGAAACATTTTTGGTACGAGAGGCACTTTCTTTTTTATTTTTTTTTATAATTTCAATGACATATTTAATATATAATGCATAAATAATTTGCAAATCAAACTTTTAACACTTGAATTTCTAAGACCCTAATGTCAGCCATAGACCAAGTTAGGTTAGAGTATGAATGCATCATCCACGATTGATACTAAAGAGGAAACAAAAACAAGCACTAGATAGACTATTAAATTATCACCAAAAAAAAAATAGACTCTCCTAAATATGTTTAAAAAATGGCTTACTTGTGTACGTTTCACGCAGATTAATTGGGAAAAATTAATTGTTTAAAAACTCTCTTTAAAATACAAGAAGCAGTAAAATATTTCTATTTAAAGATGACACCACCCTTATCATCATAGTTTTAAAAACCGGACCGGTCATCGAACCGGTTAAGGTACTGGGTCAGTGGGTCAAAGGTTGAACCGGTGGGTCATTAATTGAACCGCATAACTCAGTTTTTATTTATTTTTATTAAAAAAATATTCATATTAAATATATTTTATACTTATAAATTTTAATAAATTCATATCTTATTTTAAATTTCAATTTTTCTATCTTATTTAAAATTATTTTTATTTTTATTTTGTAAAAAATACATAAAAAATTACATGTTAAACGGTATATTAATACAAATTAAAAATATAAATAATATGTACATATATAATATGCTTGCAATTAATATCACAAAATAATATATGTAATATTTACATAGATATTGCATTATTAAATATATAATTTAAAATTAATAATATATTATAAAAGTTATTTAAGTTGTATATATTGCAAATAAATATATTAGAACAAGTAGTCATTGTTATATTTAATAAGACTCCTTGCTTTTTCATTAAGAGATTCAATTTTCATTATTATTATTTTTTGTTTATGGTCTCTTAAAAAAATTATAAAAAAAAAGAAAAAAAATGATTGAACCGGTTTGATCCATCGGTTCACCGGTTGAACCAAAAAATTGACCGGTTCAATCTGGTTTGAAACAGGTCAACTGCATAACTGATCCAACTTAAGATTCGGACCAGCTGGACCACCGGTTCCCGGTCTAACCGGTACGACCGGCCAGTTCGGTCCGATTTTTAAATCACTGCTTATCATGATTACTTTGCATTAATAATAATTATAAAAACGCTTAATTTTATTTTTGTCTTTCTAGTTAAAATTGTATGCAATTCTCTTGTGCCAATTATTTTCATTACTTTCAATTTCATGTTTAATTTTAAATAGAAATTATAAGTTATAACATTTACTATTAGAATCCTGCCTTGTGTATGCAGCCGCTTTAAATCTTGGAGCTAACTATCCTACCTTTTAAAGTATTTCTAACGTAGCAAGGAGATTAGTCACTGCTATCGAATACTCCAGAAACGATAAAAAAAAAAACATTTACAATTAAAGTTTAATTTTAATATTATAAAACTATGAATATTATATTATTTTTTTATTGTTGTTTAATATATTATATTAAGAATTAAAATAGTATTTTAAATTTAATCATAATTAAACCATTTGAAAGTTAAAACATTACGTTCATTGGTTGAAGTTCAGTTTTAAAAACCGTGGAAATACATTTTCTTTTACTTTTATTAGTGATTATATATATATATAATAATTTATTTTTAACAAATCTTTATTTTAAAACAAATTAAATATAACAACATAATAAAATCGATAAGCATTATTTTTATTATTCTAGCAAATTCTTGAAGAAGAAAAAAAGAAAGTACAAACAATGAAATATTTTTATTATTCTTGCAAATTCTTGAGAAAAAAAAAAGTACAAGCAATGAAATATTTTTATCTTTAGTATACATATCAACTAAAAAAATAAAAATAAAATAATCCAATGGCATAATCAAATAAAAGAAATCAACCAAACAAAACATAGCTTTCGTATTAACCAACTTTGCCACTTTGGAACTGGGCGCTCATCAACGTGAAACAAATTAGTAAAAGCTCATGAATGATACAGAAACATAGGAAACATCGAAGTGATCGTACCATACTAACAAATACCTCCTCGACCGTTTGCCAATTGCAAACATCAAGTAATATAAATATAATTGGTCGAACTTAAAATGTGTCATGATCGTCTTATCGACATATCACACAAATCATGTAATAATTTGAAAAGGAACCGTATGCGTCAGAATCTCTAAACAAACCAAACTGCAATTCTAAAATGCATGTGTAGAAATAAATATCTAATCTGGCTCTCTTTTTCTCCCCTACAAATCTTGCTATCTAGAGCCTTGTTTTCCAGAGGAATCGAGAGAAAGATTTTTTGTAAGGTTGACGAGAGTACCTTGCTTGGTACCACTCGATTGCATCTCTATTTTCTTCTCTCTTGCCTTGACAGTGTTCTGCAGAAAATTATAAGACAAACGATCACAAACGCAAAAGTAAAAATATAAAAACACAAAAAAGACAAAAAGGAAGTGACTAATGACCAATATAACATCATAGCATTACAATATTCCAGTCGAGTGCACTTATGGAAAAGCACATATCTTCTATGTTCAAATTGCAGAAATAAGTAAGAACTACGAACCATTGGAGAAAATGTAAATGGAACATACCTCGTAATTGTCATTGCTATTGCCATATACTTCCTGTTCTGACCTTACATGCTTAGTACTCCTCTGGGAACGAAATAACTTCTCTCGCTTCTCATAAAAGACAAAATCATCCAATAGAGATGTCTTAGCCGAATAATTTTTAAAAATATTCAGCATCTGCAGTCCCTCCTTCAGTCCAATCTGCAAACCAGATAATTACAAATTTAATGATAATCTAACAAAATATTGAGTCAATAACTATAAGATTTATTTAGTGTTTTTCAAGATATGATATGATGCGAGAATTGGATAATTTTGTTCGATAATTAGGACACACTAGATAATAACATTATTGTATCATGCATTGTATTTAATATGGATCAGATAATAATAGAATAAGATATAAATTATGTTTAAATAATAAAATTACTGTTTTGTTGATATTACATCTAATTTTATAAAAAAAAATTAATTTAATTTTATAAATTATTAATATTATAAACTATTTCCATTTTTTTGCCTAAAATTTTCATTTTATTTGCCTTAAATTATCAAATATAATTACAAAAGAGAAAAAAAAAATGTTACAAAACTAGTAATGAATTAAATGATTCAAATGTTCGATAAAACATGTACTTAATAAGTCTATCAACAATGCTAAAATAAGTTGACAAAACAATTATAAAAAAAAATCTTGATAAGTAAATAAAACACAAATTAAACACTATAAATCAATGTCAATAGTTAAAAATTAAATAAGTCAACTCAACATGTTCTAACCCAATCCATTGGATTGTGGGGGTTAGAGAGTTGAAAAGTGCAATCCAATCTAATAATCTACTTAGATAGATTATACAAGTCATTGGATGAATTTACCAAAAAATAATTAAAAAAAAGTCATTGGATTCAAACATTTTGACACCTTGAAGGATAAAAAAATAAAAAATAAAAATCACACTTCCTCTAGAATCCAAAATTAATAAATAACTTTCTCCAGAGAAATGGAAATAACCAGCATCATGATATGCACTGATGCTTGACCTAATCATTGATCAATTGACACTACATTATATATAGTAGAGATTTACTTTTCCTTTTAAAGAAAATTTCCCCACTTGAAATACACAAGAACATCGACTCTATAGTGGTATACAAATTATCATGTCATTTACACAAACTATTTGTATATACCACTTACAACTTTCTGTCAGTAAATAACTAAACCCAACTTATACAATAACTAATTTTTTCTGTCTCTATAAAAGCAAGCATAGGTGCAGTTTAATGCCATCAAGTTAAGAATTACCTCTTGTGTGTCCCTGGTGAAAGTTACAGGCTTGTTCTCATTGTTTGGAAGGATGATATGCTCAAGCCGATTGTTGGGAACATCTTTTATTATATGCCACTTAATTGGGAAGAACCCATTGTACTTATCAAGTTTCCAAAAGTTCATGTCTTTTTTAAAGTCCACCGGCCCAAGCATCTCAGCCACTCCAACAAACTGTCTGCTAGCATTAACCTGATTTGAGTAAAAAATTCATCTAGAATCTATAAAGATTTGAAAATGAATTCCCAAATCTAAAAATATATCAGCGGATGCATAGTTGTGCATGCATGACAAATAAACTTACATCAAAGATATTCCTATTATAATTTGGAAGAGAATAAATGATTTTGGCATTTTAATCAGACAATTTAAGAAAAAAATTTTATTTTTGACAATTATTGGACATAAATATAAAAGGAAAACATGAACTGACGTTCATGTTCTTCTCATGGTTTTTCTTTTTGATGATAATTTAACCTCAAGAAAGAGAATAAAATAAAATACATACCTCTAACAAGATATCAATATCTAAAATATCAATTAAAAAAAGAGTTTATTTATTAATGTTACACCCCTTCTGAACAAAAAATAAAAGAGGGAGAGACCACTTGTGAATAAAGATTTGAACTCACCGAGAAAAAGAGGAAGACTGGATACATCGTGCCTGTCTGTTTCAATTTAGCTTCTGCATCAAGGAATGCTGCGTGCAACTTCTCATTTCCATTTGGAGTACTTGTCCAAACATTATATTTAACACCCTTATGAACATCATCTTCATTGAAAGATTTGATCACATAAAATTTAGCAGTTTCGTATTCGGTTTGGAAATCTGAAAGGTTATATTGGTCTCTACATATTGTGATTGCAAGCTCATCCTTAACAGCTGACGATTGTAGAAGAGGATTGTTGTAACGACCCCGAGGACCCCGAGTCATTTCCATTGACATTTCAGATTCTCCACTCCTGATTTTGTCACTCAACAAAAATCTATCATTTACACTAGATACTCTCCCATTTGGTCTATAGTTAGTAGAGGTATTTGGCTTGTAGTTTGTGGGGGAGAAAACATGGCATCTTGGGTTGGCGAATGATGAAAATTTTCCTCCTTGGTGATATGTACTTGGAGGAGTGGCTGCTGTAAAATTAGAACGCAAACGAGGAGCCTGCAAAATAAAGCATTTACATTATCAAAACATCTTAGTTCCACTTCCACAGCAGTTATAGTGAAAATGTAAAACACTTGAAACAAAGTTCAATGAATGGAATTTTTTGTCCATTTCTTATTCCAAAGTATATTAAATAAAAGTTATAAAAACAGATACTAGAGATGGCAAAAAAGGACGAGGAGAAATTTTTCCTCTTACAAATTATCCAAATAAGTGAAGCAAGTATCAAGGAAACAAGACCATAACATCTTTCTAAGTATTCATCGTCAATGCAAGAACTCTACCACCTCACAAAATGAATAAATAAGCAAGAAGCAGTGATGCCACATGATATCATATTCATAAGCAATATGAAACATCATAATCACCAACTGATTACCTTGTGTAGAATTTTGATATCGTCTTCTGGATCAGCCACAGTCTTGGATATCGTTCTGGTTAAGCTTCCATTTCTATGTATAGACATTAAGCTACTTGGCTTCATCAAACCAGGAGATTTTGGATAACTTTTTGGAATTACAGAACCCTTGACAGTTTTGCTTTGCACACAAACAGAAGTTGAGACTGATGAATTACAAGACAGAGCTTCTGACGCATGTGCACCTGATTGTTGAAAATCGAGGCAAAGAAAGGTAAGATTGATGATCAATTGATCGAATAGCACTGATAAAAAAAAAAGGCTATAAGATAATAAGAAAAGGACATTATTTTCAAGATAATACCTGAATTTTAGGAAGTGAAACATTATTTTCATATGTTATCAACTGATCATAAATGTAGTTAGTATTCAGGAGCCTGTGCCTAGTTAATTATAAATTTAGAGTAACTTCTAAGACAGATACTTCAATATCATTATTAAGGAACTATTTTTTATCATCTTTCCTAAGGAAGAATAACAATTAGGTATAGGATGATTATATAAACTCAAGATCTTCAGCTGACTCACCTGTGAAGCCAGCAGCAACATCTCCAGAGGAGATTGCAAATGTTGTCAAATCTGATGAGATACAATTTTTTAGAGAATCCTGCAGAAACTTATACAAGAGTTAAAATGAAATACAAATAAATTATATAATGGTATAGTACAAAACAATTCCACTTTTGTTTTCCTTGAATGCAATTAAGAGAAACTAAATATTCCTGATATATTAGTCAATGTACGTATCCAGCTGTTTAGATACAAGGTGTTAGATATAGGTCCAGAAGGGTACATACAACTAAAAGTGCTCACTGTACACTAGTTATAAACAAATACCAAGTTATAGTGTAAATAATTTAAGTCAGGCCCAAACATTAGAGTCTTGCAGCAAGATCATGTTATCTATTAATTAAAGTTTTTGTTGCTCTGTCCTCGACTGTCAGGTCTGAATAAATTACAAATTACACTGGCTGGCTGAACGCTTCATGAAAATGAAATACGTGTAAACTATAAAATGGTAACATAATACAAAACAATTAAACTTCTGACAACAATAAAAATATATTATTCAAGTAGTCCAATGAAATTAAGAGAAAGAAAAAACATATTCCTTAGATATAGGTCAATAATGTACACATCCAGTCATTTAGATACAAGGTCAACTCTTTAGATATATGTCAGGGAGGGTAAACTGAACTAAAAATGCTCAATGTACACTAGTTATTTAGTCAAAATAAATACCTAGAGATTATGTACAGTAGTAAATAAATTAACTTTAAGACCAATGTTATCTATCAAAAAAAAATTTGCCATCTATCAATTATGTTGAAAGGCAGAGTTTGTTGGAATTTCTCTATAATCAACGGAGGACCACATTTGACCACATTCAAGAAACCCTACAACGGAAACTATACCCTTTGTTTGAAACAGATTTCACTAAAATCGAGGGTGGGTTTGTGTCCCCTGAAACAAAGTTCTAGGAAGATCGAGTTGTTGCCTTGACATTTGCAAATCACTTATTAACTTGTACAAATAGAAGAATCGAAGGGTTAAGAGTGGAAGCAAAGGGAAAGCTTCTTAGTAAAGAAATATACACTTGTAATTCTCGAAAAGAGAGTTACCTCAAACGTAAGTATAATCCGAGAAAATAAACTTTGTACTGTAGAATGAAAAGATTGACAGATCTTCTATTGTCAATTGTCATGGAAGAAACATTGTCATCCTTGTATAGTGGAAATAGTTTTTCCCGAACTACGTCCAGAGTGTTAAGAGAGTTACACTCTTAATACTTTCGTTTAGTGTCCATTTTAAATTTACAGAAGGGGGAAGGGGGGTTGGTCTCATTAATTCCCAAGAGTATCTCCATGCTAGTTATCATACTGCAATTTAGAGTTCTTATGCAGAAGATGAGTTATCACGCCTAAACAGTGTGTTTTGCAGTCCTTACAACACTCTGCCATTTCAATTCAATAGCAAAGAATTGCAGTACTTTTTACTGAACAGATGAATGAATCAAAAATAAAATTTAGAAAGAAAAACATAGAGAGAGAGAGAGGCACAGACTCATAGAGAGAATCATGAAAGTGGACATACCACATCTTCCTCATTCTGCTGCTGACAATGATTGGTAGTTCTATTGGGGGCAGACTGAGCTATATTACATGGTTAAGTATACCATAAATTAAACTGTCAAATAAGAGAAAAGCCAAATAAAATCACCCTGATTTCCTGAATCCTAACATCTAACCATGTCATTGGATTTGCTTTATATCGTTACGTTGAAGCAACCATTAAAGAGCTATGAAAGTATGACCTGTCTGCTTTGTCTCCTAAAAAGAGTGGGGGAGGGAGCAGAGATAAACAGTTATATATTGTCTTTCCTAGTTTAAGAGCTTTTCCTTATTTCCTTATCCTTGAAGAAGATACGTTATTTTTTTGAATATATATTTCTTATCGTTTGACTAGGGTTTAGACTGCGTGACTACTATCTCTCTTAGTCTTTCAGTTTACCATCAATAAGCAGACTATTATGACTTTTGTGAATATAGGTTCTGTGGTTGATCATAAAAAAATTAAAACAGATAGAGAGAGAGAAAGAAAATTATTAACTATATCTGACAATTTTGCACCATTTAATGTCATTACTGTGCAATAGAAAGCTAGTAAGCGGACAAAATAACAGCCGTGGCTTTAAATACAGTACTGTAAATACAAACGTTGCAAAATATACGCACTACGACATTTTGAAAAACTGTAACTCAGATGAATAGAATGTTATCGATTCTGGAAATTGAAACGCTGATAAGATAAATTTTGACAAATAATAGGAACAGTGTAAAGGTGAATTAACAAAAGGATACTTGTCTGGAATTCCTTGCCACGGTTCATGATGAAGAATACGAGTGTTTAAAACCAATCGCAGCCTAAGAAAAAGGAGAAACAGATTAGACAAAAAGAAAAATAAAAGAGATACGTTGTATAAAACACTACTTAACAGGAGATGAAGGTAACCCAGAATCAAGGAGATACGTTGCAGAATTGAATGTATTATGCCATACCTAGAAACTTAACACGAGATTGAGAAGAGCGCACGAACAGGAACAGGAACAGGAACAGGAACAGGATTCGTTACATCGCCTTCCTTCGCCGCCACTGCCACTACGCTATTTGTATTTCCTTCCTATATGCTCAATTGCTTTTACTCATAACCCAACCAATTCATCACGTCTCAGTTAGGATAAAATTAAGTAATTATCTTCTTAATTTGAATAATTATTTGAAATACATTCAAAGTATATATAATATAGTATAAAAATATATGTATGAATTCGAATTGTTTATATAATTAAAAGATATTATTTTTTTATAATAATTACTTTTAAATTATATTTAAGATTATTTTAATTTATTGATATTTGATAGTATAAAAATATTTACTTTAATCGCGTCTCAAAATTAAATAGTAACTTTAATCGGCTATATTTCATTTCATCTGATTTTAAAAAATTATTAACCCATCCAAATTAAATTAATTTAAGTAACACCGTCCTGTTTGGGTTTGAATTGTTACGTTAAAAAATATGGGATTTTATTTTTCCTTTTTTGACTTTCAATATTTATTATCTTTTTAATCTTAAATTTTAAATTTTATAACAATTAATATGCACAAACTTTTATGTATAAACGTTATTGTCGTCTTTATATATTATTTTATATATTATTATATATATTATTAGTAGAAAAAAAATACTCCGTGCGGTGCATTTTAATTTTACATTAAAAAAATTAAAATATTATCTTTATTTTAAGAATTTCTTTTCACTTCTTCCTACATTTACTATTCCAAGGTTTTACAATTTGATTTTTTTTTTTTAAATTATATGATTTCAATATAGTTTTGATTTTTTCACTGATTAATTGCTAATTATTCAACAATTCCTACAAAAATTACTTTTAATATAAATAATTGTTCGAAATGGAAAAATAAACAAAAATGAGTTGTTTATTCTTAGAAATAAACATAATGAGTTAAGATCTATTTGGATACTTTTATCCATAAACACTTATAAAAAGAAAATAAAAATAAAAAATATTTTTTTTATAAATTAAAATTAACTTATGCATAAATTAAAAATAAATTTTAAATAAATTAAACCATCTTTTGAGGTGCCTTCAACGTAACGAGGAGATTAGTCACTACTATCAGCGGTAGATATTCCAAGGAAAAATCAAAATAAATAAATAAATTAATTAATTAATTAATATAAGATAATTTTGTAAATTTTTTAACTATAAATTAATTTTAATTTATGAAAAACTTATTCATTACGTTAAAAATTGATGTACGAATGAAAATATAAATGGAAGATGAAACAAAAAAACTCATACTTTCTTTGTGCAAATGATCAAAACTTGGATATTTGTAGAATGAGAATAACTTGAGCCAACATTTAAAATGAGATAGGTGACTTCTTAAAAATTGAAATTAAAATTAATTAAGTTAAAGTAGATGAATATTCTCATCCCCGGTACATGTTAGGGCATTGAACAAGTGTATATCTTGTTTAACTTTGCTTGTATATGTAAAATTGCCACTTGGATGATTATAAATTAAAAAAATAATATAAAAAATAAAATTTAGCCTCAACTTTAATGACTTTATTAGCTTATATTTTTTTTAAATTACATTTTTATTCCTTCTATAATATTAAATATGTGATTTTGATCTTTTTATTTTAAATTTATAATTTTAATCTCTTAATTTTATAATATTCATGATTCTCTTGTTAAATACTCATTCATTAATTATTAAAATTGTAATATAGGACATAATTTTTACATTAAGTAATGACATGATAATTAATATTTAATAATATTTAAAATAAATTTTGCTTGTAGTCTTAACTCTTATCTCATAAAAGTATTCAAGTAAGAAAAAAAATGAGAATTAAAAGTACAATTTAACTTAAATATTATTAAATATTAATTATTGTGTCATTTATGTAGTATTAAGTCATAATGAATGTTACAACTTTAAAGACTAATGAATAAAAATTCAACAAAAATAAAAATTGTGTAAATTTTATAATTTCAAAAACCATAATTATATATTTAAAAATAAAATAAAATAATTAAAATTACTAATTTGATATTATGAAGTGATCAAAAATAGTATTTATTTATTTTTTAATGAACAAGATGAAGTGGTCATGAAAAAAAATGTGGTACTTGAGCTTTGTTAACTCATTTAACTTGATGCAATTTTACTTTTAGTTTTATATGAATATGAATATGAATTAGAAACAAATAAGCTATGATTTAGTCAATTTTAGTTGTTTTATTTTAATCCGTCAACTTGAGTGGTTATTGTATATTTTTAAGTGAGGAAACCTATAATTGAATGACTTGAAAACTAACTATTTCTCATTTCTTTTCATTAATTTTTTTTAGATTGTTTGTTTTCATTAATAATATTATAGAATTAAATTTTATTCTAAAAATATCTTATTGATTAGTTGATTTAAATAGTGGTAACATTAAATTAAATGATATTATACATAATTTAAAATATAACTTTTTTCAATAATAAGTGTAACATGTAATATTAATGTAACAATAAATATATCTAATTGTATAAGGGTATAAAAGAAAAGTAGTAATTAAATCTTGAAGTGCGTGCTCCTTCTGTTCTCTTTTACAAGAAAAAAAATATTTATTATTTTTAAATATAAACAATTTTAATTTTTTTTACATTATTTAATAATATGTTCTCTAAAATATTATTCTTTTAATAAATAACTTTTGAATTGTACAACTTTTTGCCATTTATAACAAAGACAGTTTATAAAAAAATCTTATGGGGTAGTAAAATTTAATGTAAATATTCAATTTTCTTAATATACATAAAATTAATTATTTTATCTTATAATAGAGAACATATTGAATACTTATTTTTATGATTAAGATTAAAAAATTCATTATCTTTGCTCTCTATTATAAGCATTATTTTTTTATATTTTATTTTTTATATATTCAGAAAATTAGTTAATTATATTAAATTCTTCCAATATAGGAGTATAAAGTCAACTAAAAGTATAATTGTTCCTCAAAGGAAATACAACATATCATATACACATATATTTATAGTAATCCAAAAATTGAAAGATAAACATAGATTGTTAGTCAAGCAACACTACAAAATACTAAACTAGCTACATCGAGGTAGCTCAACAAATCAACATTGCCATCCTCCATAATGGCCTTAAAACAACTATGCCTTCTGGCTATCCTTGTCCTACTCCCATATAAATACAATCATCACAAGTTAATCACAAGGAAACATATAAGGATAATCTAGTATTCAAAGAAATCATCATACAAAGTATAAAAGTAAAGTGCAACTATACTATCAGCATCAACAGACAAACCATACAACAAAACTCCTCATGGCTTTCAACTTTAACAACACAACCACAACACATTAGCTTACATTCAACAATAGTTGCAACTCATAAACCATTCAACAAAGCATATGAACAACACCACACAATCAACACATCATGTGCACAACAACACAGTTATATGCACCTTCATGCATTTAACTAGGAGATATTATACAACATAAGTGAATAGTTTAAGTGGTTTGACCATACCGAATCAATAATAATGTGATCCTTTTACAGCTTTTAGATCAACAGCCAATTCAGATAAAAATCCACAACAATTGATTTTTCAAATTTCACCACTTAAACTATGAAAATCTAATATTTTTTGTTATGGTGGGACAACTTGGGTTTAAGCTTACCAAGATGTTAGCATGCATAACTAAGCCATTATTAGCTTGTCGACTACCCTCCAAATATTACGCCTCTTTCAGTACTTAGTTATACATTTTGGCCCTTGACCTCGTACCTTATTCGGTTTGGTCACCTTATACATGAATGGCTTAACCTATCCTCGTATAGATCAACAATAGTCACTTTATAATCAGTATAGCTTAACCTGACTTCTATATTATGATCACTTATAAATGATAGGTTTGGACCTTACCTCATACCACATCAACTAAGCTCTTAGAGAAAACTTAATTATTCATTTCAATAGTCAATTTGTTAAGAAGGGATTGCATCAACTAGACTCATAGAACATAGCAATAATATAAAATATCCTCGCTATGGGATATCCAACTTTTTAAAACATTTTTCCTCTAGTTATAAGTTAATCAACACAACACAACACAACTTATTGTCTTAAACATTCTTAACACCATCACCTTGACATTTCGACAATTTAATCATCAATATACATTATCCATATCAATATAAAAAGAACTAGCAAAATATATCAACATTGAACATGTAATAAATTTAACTAACCTATACATGTTCAACACTTAGGGAAGAAAACTACAGATTTTCATTTAAGCAACCCACACCTAACACCATTCTTCCCATGCCTAGCGTCATTAAGGTAGAGAGCCTTTAAATGACCCACGCCTGATGTCAAACAACCAACTCCCAACATGAATGAGACAAAGACATTGTGACAATCACACCTAGTGTGGCTAAACCCACACCTGACCCTATGCAGGTAGAGAGTCTTTACTTAACTCATGTTTGACATCACCACATTAATGTTTAGCGTCATTTATACAAAAAGTTTTTGTCTTGTTCATGTTGAGTGTCACTCAACTTAGGGTTTAATGTCACTAAGTTAGAGAGCTCCAAAGGCATCCACGTTTGACGCTATTCAACCCACGCCTGATGTGACCAAGTTGGAGAGTTCTCTTTAAACTTTCATTCGACATTACCAATCTTGCGCCCAACGTGAAGCAGAGATTCTCTAACCTATGTCATGCCTGACGCCATGAAGTTACACCTAGTGCAGTGATAAATTTTGCACTTGGAAATTTCAAATTTTGGCTTAATCAATACTTGAAACTCAGAAATACCAATATATACAAGGCACTAATTTATTCATTCACCATGGATGACTCGAATCCAACTAGAAAGCAAATTTCAAGAATTACCCATATCTTCCCCAACATATTCAAAATCCCAATAAGTGCACAACCTATGCAATTCAACTTACAACCATCAAAACAACCACAAATTTGAATGAAACATATCATATACAAATTCATAATTCGACAAAGATTGCAATTCTAGCTTCCTTTACCTCCAAGTATACAAGAAGGAGGAAGAATGAAGAACGAAACCA